GAAGGACCAGAGGCGATGGGTAGAAAAATCCCTTGTGTGATTAAGTGATCATGATAGACCAGAATCTCTGGTTAGAAGGACCAGAGATGATGGATTAGAGGTCTCCTTATATTGTTAAGTGCGAGAAACCAGAGGCCAATGGACGGGAGATCCATTGGGTTGCAAGGTGTGAGGAACCAGAGGATCGATGGTCCGTATGGATGTGAATCAGCAACCGACGAAATAAAATTCCAATGATTTGCTTAGTCTGAATGTGGAATCGGAGAACCGATGGACGGGTTACTTTATACTTTCCTAAGTATGTAAGATGAACCAGAGGCTCTGGTCATGCAACCAGAAGCTCTGGTCATGCAACAAGAAGCTCTGGTCATGCAACCAGAAGCTCTGGTAGTGCAACCAGAGACTTTATATCTAGAGGATCTAGCTTGATTGCCACCTTTAGTCTTGCTTAGAAGCTTCCATTGTATCGAAAAGCATTTGTTAGATGGTACATTTTAGAGACTAAGATTATTAATGTCGCAGATTACTATGGCATCACCTGATCCTAGTGAATACTCGGCCGACGAATCCGGCTACGTGGTTCGTCGATCTAGAAGAAACTCATCACGCAATGAAGAGATAGATCCATATGAACAAGAGGACACTGCGACTAGTGGAGCATCTGTTTCCCCGCCAGCATCCTTGTTACCCCCATCTAAGCCAGTACCCAATGTCCCACCACAAACTTATCATGGTCCCAGGATTAGAGTTACACCGAGGAAAAGTATTCCACTGCCTTGACGAGTGACATTTGAGAATTCCTCTAGAGTAAGAGGATAGCCATCGCGACCACCGCAGGGGCACAAGATATCTCAAGTAGTGACTGGAGTGCCTGTATCCTATGCCCAGGGCATGAACCCGGCTGAACGAGAATGGGTGCAGAGAATTGCATCAGATACTCAGACTCACCAGACCCGGCTGGGATATCATCACCACATTCTGAACAATCTATCTGATGTGATGGAATCACACCATCAACGAATGATGAGAAACACGGATGCTGTCATTGCAGCGAGGCGAGAGATTAGAAGGTTATACAAGTATTTGGTGCTGAGTGGAATATTGATGTTGTTGTTAGGAATGGTGATAGGCTAGTTATTATTCTATATACATTGTCTAGTGATAGGATATCCACTCTTTTGCGTAGAAACTCAAGGACCTGTTTTTGTAGCTTCAATCACCTATGAATGCATGATATCTTTTTTTAAAGAATGCTTATTTATGTCAAGTCAAGGTGCATATAAGAATTAATCTGTTTGGCTATAAATGCTTGAATGTTATCCCTGCGATGATCATCTGTGGCATCATTTAAATAGATGGAAGTCATCATCCTTGTTATGACAATAAAAATGACGAAATTCCCTTTTCACTTAGGCCTTAGAAGATGCCGCCAAGAAGAGAAAACCCTGAGGTTGCACGACTTGAGTCAGAACAACTTTTGGCCGCACTCCCCAACATAGTTAGTCAAGTGGCTGCTGGCCTGAATACTAACCAACCTAACAATCTAGAGTCGAGGGCGGCTAGTGAATGCACTTATAAATCTTTTAGATCTTGCAACCCAAAAGAATTCAATGGAACCGAAGGAGCAGTAGGATTACTATCATGGCTCGAAAGCATGGAATCTGTTCTTCACATTAGTAAATGTACTGAAGGAAATAAAGTAGAATATGCGACATGTTTGTTACAAGGAAGGGCACTTACTTGGTGGAATACATTGGTACAAACTAGGGGTCGGGAAGCGGCTAACAAGCTTTCTTGGGAGGAATTTAAGAAATTACTAAAGGATGAATACTTCCCAAGAAGTGAACTCCAAAGTTAGAAATGGAGTTATGAAATCATGAAATGAAAGGGGAAAATATAGCTGCTTATACGGCCCGATTCCACGAGTTAGCGAATCTAGTACCACATCTAGTGACACAAGAGGAAGTCCGCATTGAGAGGTATATTTGGGGATTGTCTTCAGAAATCAGAGGAAACATCACCTCGGTCAACCCAAAAACCCTTAAGGAGGCAATAGATATTGCGACCAAGCTCACGAATAATGCGGTTCGATCAGGAGAATTCGCCAAGGGAAAAAGAAAAATGGAGGAGCAAGGGAATCGAAGATTTGGGGGAAAATATGACAAGAATAGGAGA